AATTTGACTGAATGGATATTTTTTTGTCAGACTATCATGTAATATGTAATAGTTGGCCTCGTAAGGCCTCATTCGGTTTGAAGAAAACCAAAACACATGATTTAGGAATAGCACAAGAAGTTGATAGGATGGCACTTGCCATCATAAGGAATTGTTTTGCCTCGTTTCTACGCATAAAATGAGATTTGAATGGATCTATAGATTCATTCAAAAACATTTTCCGATAAATGAAATATATTAATATTCCTTCAAAAACATAGAAAATGAATAGTATTCCTATGAAATTCCAGTACGCGTTTCCTACAAACCGAATTGATCTATAAATTTTTTTCCTCTTGAATCCTTGTTCCTATGCTTTTCTGGTAAAAATCCTTCAAACCGAATGAGGCCTAAACATACTCCTTGATGGATGTTTGAACCTTTATAATTCTCACATCTCATAAAATCTCGCAAGGAAAAAAAATAGCCTGTACCATTGCGTTGCTTAAAAAAAGTAGTGGGTGTATCTGCAGCTGTATATCCTGCCAACCGATCTCCTCGTCGGAATAGAAACATACAGTACCTTGGTTAAATATAATCTTCCCCATCTACAAAACTCCATCTTTACAGGCGCTGTATTGCAAAATTAACAAGGCAAGAAGAGCAAAGCAAGGCCAGGGGAGCTGTCGTTAGCGCTGACGCACGCCATTGCCGCGTTTGTGCGCATTGACGCCGGATAGAGATATCCACTGCTTCACCGTTAATCCGGAAAGCAGGCATGCAGACAGCGACGACCATTCCTCCCTCCGGACAGAAGCTGCTTATATTCCTCGGCGTACACTGACCAGTGACAGCGACTCGTCCGGTCAATGGATCGCATCCGTGCGCCCCAAACAACCGCCACGGGCTTCATTTTCCTGCACGCGCCGGCGCCGCGGCTTCGCCAGCGCTTCCATCGCCAGCTACGACGGGACAAAGAGAAAACAGAGAATGTTCCGAGGGAACAGCGTGGAAGCGGCGGAGATGAGACTGGCCGGCCGTGGCAGGGCGACTACTGTTCAACGTCTCTGGCCCGACAAGCAGGTAAGAGGTTGGTGTCTCTGCGGAGATCGAGAAAATTAAATATTTGCCATTTTCAATACATGGTTTCTTAAAATTGCCACTTTTAAAATGGGCTTCGCAATATTGCCACTTTGCTCGTTCGCTCCTTGATTACTACGCCACTTTCCTTTTTTTAGTGATTTTTTTTTCTTTTTCCATTTATAAGCACGGGAAAAGACCAAACTGCCCCTGATTCTATGTATACAATATACTACGTACTGAGATCTGATTATCTGCATTTGGTATTCTTGTTCGAGTAGAGGACATAACGAACCACACAATGCAGTAGAATCTATACTCAGATGTAGCCTACATCCTTCCAAAAAGCGACCTTTACAATACAGGTCATAGAGATACAAAAATTAAATAATGAATGAAGGTTATATAGTTAGCCATATTTCACTTTTACAATACATTTATCATCCTGTAGGCTGCCAACAATCCTTTAAGGACAATCCTCACTTGACTTGCAGAACTCTCTAAATCTCTTTTTATCCGACTTCTCCATGCCTATATCAAACTCCTCATTGATGGCAAATTGCCTCACTGCTAACCTAAATTCCTTCATTGATGGATACATTGTGCCAAGGTTCATTTTTGGGTGGTCCTTATCATATGTAATCACTATCTCATTTGGTATGACATCACTAACAAGAATGGCAGCACCATCATTATCACTGCCCTGCTCAACCATTCTACGACCCTTTGGTTCACTTTTATCTTTTTTCTCTTCTTCATCCTGCAAGCCCAAAATTTCACATAACCGATCCTCATTCAGTAGTTCAATTCTACCTTCTTCATCATGTGTCTCCACTATTTGCAAGTTATCCCAATCGACTTCTGAAATTCACGTTGCCTCAACCTGTAACGATGGATCCTCAGTACTGCTCCCCAACGCGACCTCTGGGTCATGCCTACTTGAAACAATTAAGAAAACATGAACACAAGTTTGGGTTAGCGGTCATAAACATGTCAAAAGTCACGATCAGATTTTTACAAAGCATATATGTAGTCATGGGTTCAAGTCCTGGAAATAGCCTCTTACAGAAATGTAGGGAAAGGCTGCGTACTATAGACCCAAAGTGGTCGGACCCTTCCCTGGACCCTGCGCAAGCGGGAGCTACATGCACCAGGTTGCCCTTTTTATATATGTAGCTGAACATAAATTCCTCCAGATTGTTTACTATTTCCCTTCTTCATTGATGCATGATGATTCGAAAATTCTACTATTTCAAAATTCTACTGCCTTTACAATTAGGATAACTTTTACCTCTCATTATGATTTCAGGAAGAAATAAGTCTTTCAAGGTTCGGCTCTGTTGAACTAGTGGTTGTGACGACTCTGCTGTTTCTACTTTAGTGAATACACATCACTTTCTTTTTTGCATTCTTACTATATCTAGTATTGCTCCCAGAATTAGATGCCAGATAACAACGACCTTTCCCATCCTTTCTTGATTTAGATACAGGCTATCAGAATTAGATGTGAACTGTGGATGTAGGCTATCGTTTCACCTAGCAAGGAGCAGTTTAGGAATCACGATTGTAGTTTCCCCAGATTCCATACTCACATGATGCAGTGCTTTGTTAACGAGCCATGCAAGGATAGATCAATCACTACAGATTTTTGAACAGAACAAGGTAAGGCTCAATACGATACCATCCAGAATCCATGAACACGGCGACGAGAACGGCGACACACGGCGTTGACGAGATAGGCGGCACGCAACGTCTAAGCCATCTGCGGCACTCTGCCGTCGAGAAGAATCAGGGGCAACACAAACGATATTCTTGGCGGCCGGTGCGCTGCTCTCGTATCAATTAGTATCAATTAGAACGTGGATACTACGTACGTGTATAAAATCAGGGGCAGTTTGGCCTTTTCCCCTGCTTATGAATGGAAAAGGAAAAAGGAAAATCACTAAAAGGAGGGAAGTGGTATGGTAATTAAGGAGCCAACGAGCAAAGTGGCAATTTTGTCAAGCCCATCTTGGAAGTGGCAATTTTGATAAGCCATGTATTGAAAGTGGCAAATATCCAATTTTCTCGCGGAGATCTGAGTTGTCGTGGTCGCTTCGTTGCTTTTCTCGATCGGTCGACCAGTCGTGGATGCTCAGGGCAGTGTTACGCATGACTGCTAAAGAAAGAATTTTAATTGCCAATCATGCCTGGCTCATTCCGGTTTTACTGGCTGGACGATTCCATGTGATTTATCAGATTTTGTCGTCAATTTTTCTTGTTGATTTTCTTGTTTCCTACAGGCGGGGAAATGGTTTGGTTGCCATCCGGAGGACTTTGGCTGCAAATGCAACTCACTCTCCAACTTAATTAGGTGTGTCTTAACTGACTGACGTCAGATCCCTCACATTAGTAATTATCACAGATAGAAGAAGGGAAGAGTCAACAACATACCACATCTTTTGTAAATGCTGTTGCAACAAACAGTATAGCAGACTGAGTTATTATTATGTCTGTTTTTGCAGTGAGCCGTGTACTCGACTCCACT